TATTTTATTTTATAGGTTAGGAAAGAATGCGGTGGGTATGACTGGTGGTTCGCCTTCCTCTTGGATCCACTACAAGGAGGTGGAAGAAATACTCAGTGGTAATAAGGCAATAAATTTCAAAGAACTCATGCAAGAGAGTATAGGTAATATAAAAACGAAATTTTTGTTTGCTCTTTTATTATTTTATTTTAATTCAAGATGTGGAACCAGAAGACAACATTGGTTGCGCTGCTATCTACCCTCCGACGAGCAACCAATCCCAATTCATTTCAAGCGATGAACTCGCAGGACTTTCGACGACTCCGGAGTCTGCAAAAAGAAGGAAATTAACCCATGAGCGTTTAGTAAAGAATTTGGAAAAAAATTCAGATATGTTTGAGAAAGAAATGGAGTCCATGAGAGGGGCGGAAGAAAGAATGGTGGAACTAACCGAAAAAGCAGTTCTTTCGGAAGAGAAAAGGAATGATATTTTAAAAGATATGAGTGAAAATATGAAAAATTTTTATAAAGATCTTATTAATTTGCTAAATGAAAAATAAAAATAATTACAAATGTAGAAAAAACTTACAAAATGAATTCGCGATCGCTCTTCTAATTTTTTCAGGTTCTGCTTCAAAATCTGCTACAGCATCTGTGTGCTCGGGCTGTTCCAGGCGTACACTACTTTCGTAAGTGATTTGTTCTTCTATCCATTTGTGGTTGATGACATCGTTATGACAATTTAAAAAGTTATGCAATGTACAGGCTGCTTTGATTATAAGACGAACATTTTTGATGTGGTTGTCGACTCCTTTCCCTATTCTCCTAAAACGAGCCTTTAAATGTCCAAACGCATTTTCCACCACTCTTCGGCATTTGGACAATTGGTAATTACAAATTTTTTCATGCTCTGGAGGATGTACTTGGAATGGATAGGGCTTCATTAGTTTGTTGGCAAATCGGAAAGCCGAATCACCCATAACGCCCCCAGGAACATTCACGCCATTAATAGTTTTGCTTTTTGCAGTGAAGATTGGGTTCTTCAATACAGTATTTAGTTTGCTACATTGAAAAATTTTTGAGTCATTGCATCGACCTCTGCAGCCAACATTAATGTAGAGGAAGCGATATCTGGATAAAAAAGAAATTAATGAAAATACCAAGTGAAAATTCATTATACCTCTAACCTATAATCTACAAGAGCAAATAAAACTGTGGAGTACCACCCCTTATAATTGTAATAGTCCGTGCAATCCTTCCTAGGTGGCCGAACTTTAATGTGGCAACCGTCTATGGCACCAAGACATTGCGGAAAGCCAAGCTTCTCAAACCCATGAACACACTCATCCACTTTTCACTGTTCCTTAATTGTTCTGTCAAATAAATGGGACGCAATGATTGCCACACTTCTTGACAAAAGCAAGAAATATTTCGCTGACGAGGTTTCCTTCAAAACGCGGTCGTTCATTGATGGAACATCCTTTTCCCAGAAGTTCCCATGTCGCTTCTAAAGTATATGTATTTAAATGTGTTTATAACTTATTGTGCTTTTTTTACTTACGTATGCCCAAATACTTCTTGGGTTTATTTTCTTACAAAGAGGTATTGTTGTCAACATTAATATTTCATAATAAATCGATATTACTCGAGCTCTTCGTATCCGTAATTCCTGCTCACTTTGTTGGATAGCAACTTTATACTCTCGGCTATAGGAATTGCCTGCAGCTAGATATTTATTGCTTTCTTCTTGGTTTGCAGCAAACAAAAGTAAACATTTTTTCAATTTTGAATGCATCACTCATTTATTAACTTATTTTTTACAAGAAGAAAATATGTAAAAAAAAAAAAAAAAAAAACACAAATGGATACAGTTGTCGATTTCTCTCATTTAATTGGGTTATCTTTGCTATATGTGAACGCAACAAGGTTAGCTTCGAGGTTAATTTTTGTTAACCATAACCTGCTTATATGTGAACGTGCTATAATCCAAKATCTCCGACTTTTAACCGGAAAATTGCACTGTGTTATATTCTAAAAAATAATGGAAAAGTTGACCCAAAAATATTGGTTATATATAAAACTGTAATATATTTTCAAAAGAAACATATTTATTTTAATATATATTTTGGGGAATGTTTGGTATCGCGCCGGTTAAGTATAGTTTATGGAGAAAAACAGGGTCGGGCTATCCCCCCTCCCGACCCCTTATTGGAAAGAGGAAGAATCGAACTTTTTAATAAACCCCACCACGACCCCCTAGATCCCCTATGGACCTGTAGGGAGGCCTTTGAAAATGACCAAAAATCAGTGTTTTTGCTCATTTTTCCATACAAACTGAAACCAATGCAACCCAGCCAACATTTTTGTATGGACAAGAAATCAAAATAAAGAAAGCCAAAATGTTTCAGTGCAGTATATACGTATATAATTGCATCTATCCTTCGGCCGCGCTTTAAAAAAATAACCTTGGCAAGTCCAACACCCTCTACGCCATCCACAGTATTTTAGCATTGAACACCTTTTCCTCCACAGTATC